ATAGTTACTTGCCCTTGAACGTGCACATGCGCTCACGCATACATATACAGTCCTACTGTCGGTAAATCTCCACATACTCCCCTGTCCCCCCAAACCTCAATAACTCTTTGGCACACACACGCATACGCATAAACACCAACAACACCGACACCACCACCACCACCCCTCCCCCCCATGCACACCTCTCCTTCAATTATCCTACATATACTCCTCCCTCGTCCACACACACACACCCCTCGCCCCCTACACACACACCTCTATACAAAGCTTATGGACTGCAGAAGCTAGTGCTTCCTAACATGATAACACAAAAAATAGGATCTCAAAAGAAAGGAAGAAGAGGAAAAGAAACCGAGAATGGCTGGTCTGAGAAAGAAGATTGGACAGAAAGGCTCAAGAACAAAATGGAACAAGAATGGGAACAAAGGCTAAACAAGCTTTACAATGCAATGATGGAGAAGATATCTGAGAGAGCAGGAAGTGGGAGTTATGAGCTGTAACTGCTGAGGCAAAGATACACAGACTGGAGGAAGAACTGGAAGTTCTGAAGGAGGATATAAAGACAAAGACTGAAAGGAGCAAGGTGATGGAAATAGAAACATCAGTGGACAGCAAGAGAACTCACACAGGGAAAGAAGCTAAGAAGTCCCTTGCAGAAGTAATAACAGGCCACTGGAGTGTCAAGAAGATATGGGAAACCACAAAGGAGATGCTTAAAGCAGATCCAGAGATATGGAGGGAAAAGAAACTGGAAGAAGAGAGGGAGAGGTCAATAATTTTTCTAGGGGTTCAGGAGGCTGAAGGGATGACCAATGATGAAAGACGTCACTGAGAGGAAAAGGAGATTGAGAGTATCATCGCAATAACAGGAGAGAAGGATATGGCCCACATAACAAATTTAGGGGGTATTTGAGGGGAAAAAAATCGCCCAGTCAAATTGACATTCAAAACAAAAGTGGAATGGAACAGGATACTACAGCAGAAACCACTGTTAAAGGACTCCCGAGAATGTCAGCAGGAGTACCTCAACAGTGACAGAACATGTAAGGAATGGGAACAACTGAGAGAGAGTGTAAGACATCGGTAAAAGGAAAGATTGGGCAGGCATCGACAGACAGGAAAGCACAGCCTAAGGGGGAACACCAAACACAAATGCCCACAGAGCCCCACTCAACCCCTACCACCTTATACCAACCAAAGACCAGAAACAAACACCCCACAACTGCCCCAGCACTAATACCACCATCACAGCAGCCTTCCAAAATATCCCGCTTGGCCTTCCACACCCCTAGTCTTCACCAACCCCTCCCTCCCAAAATAAAGTACTGGACAGGAAGCTGAAGGCATGGTACACCAATGCTGATGGAATAACAAATAATATTGAGGTATCTCCGGATATCAGAGCACTCACAGAGACAAAGCTCAAGGGGATGATGTCAGATGTGATCTTTTCAAATGGATATCAGATCCTGAGAAAAGATAGAGGGAACAGAGGAGGAGGAGGAGGAGGAGTTGCACTGCTCATCAAAAGCCAGTGGAGTTTTGAGGAAATGAGAGATTGGAGAGAGGGTGAGCAGATGACTTATAGTAACGGGTCCAAAGGTGATAGAAGTGATGTACAACCCACCACTGAACAGAAAGAGAACAATACAAGAGAATGATGAGAACATAGAACAATGGTGGATACACTAGCCGAGGTGGTCATGGGTAGGGCAAAGTTACTTGTCATGGGGGATTTCAATCACAAGGAGACTGACTGGGAAAACATAGAGCCTCATGGGGACCAGTAAGGTGAAGGGTTAAGATACTGGAGATAGTAATGGAAAACTTCATGTACCAACATGTTAGGGATACAATCAGAGAATGAGAGAGAGAATGTTCAAGCAAGGCTGGGCCTCGTATTCACCTTGAACAGTTTGGACATTGTCCCATAGCTCGATCACTAGTGCACTCAGCTCACACACTGAGGTACAGAGTTCGAATCTCCTCCGGTACGTCTGGAAAACATTAGGGACGTGTTTCCGTAAGAAACCTACTGTTCCTGTGACCTACTGTTCCTGGTGACCTACACCAGTCAGTCGACTGGTGTAGGTCACACACTGGAACAAAACTGACCTAATTTGCCCGAAATGCTCTGCATAACAAGGGGCTTTCTATATGTATAGCAGTATGTCATTGATGTCATCTAGACCTGTATACCATGTACTTGTAGTAAATAAAGGTATTATTATTATTATTATTATTATTATTATTGTTGTTGTTGTTGTTGTTGTTGTTGTTGTTGTTGTTGTTGTTGTTGTTGTTGTTGTTGTTTGTTGTTGTTGTTTTTGTTTTTGTTGTTTTTGTTGTTGATGTTGTTGTTATGAAAGGCCCCTTGGCGCTAGTGATCACATAGTCCTGAGTTAACAGTGGAGAATGTTAACAGAGTTAACAGTGGAGAATGTTAACAGAGTTAACAGTGGAGAATGAAGCAGCACGAGAAGGACGGGGGAAGCCAAACTTCAAAAAGGGGACTACACAGGTGTGAGGCAACTCCTACACGAGGTGCAGGGGGAGGGGAAAAGAGAACTAGAGGGAAAGTCAGTAAACGAAATGATGGAATAAGTGACCATAAAGTGCAGGGAGGCAGAGAAGTTCTTCCCAAGGGGTAACAGAAAAAAATAGAAAAACTAGAGTGACTCCATAGTTTACCTGGAGCTGTAAAGAGGCCAAAGTCAAGTGTGCTAGAGCGTGGAAAAAGTATAGAAGGCAAAAGACTCAAGAAAACAAGGAGATGAGCAGAAGAACCAGACACGAATATGCATGGATAAAGAGAGAGGTCCAGTAGCAATGCGAGAATGACATAGAATCAAAAGCCAAATCTGTCCCAGAATTGTTATACAGTCACATCAGGAGGAAAACAACAGTCAAGGACCAGGTAATCAGGCTGAAGAAGGAGGGGAAGTCACAACGAGTGACCAGGAAGTATGTGAACAGCATTAAACAAGATATTGAGAAGTATTCACAGTGGAGATAGAAATGCTTCCAGAAAACCAAAACAGTAGGGTGCACCTGTAAGTGTTGGACACACCACACATAACCAAGAGTACATGAAGAAACTGCTAGGTAAACTAGATACCTCGAAGGAGGTGGGACCAGATAACATCTCTCCATGTGTCCTGAGAGAGGGAGTAGAGGCTCTGTGCTTGCCGCTAGTAGCAATTGTCAATAAATCTATCGAAATAGGGCAACTGCCTGAGTTGTGGAAGACAGCAAATGTAGTTCTAATTTTTAAGAAAGGAGACAGACAGGCAGCATTAAACTACAGACCAGTGTCACTGACATGTATAGTATGTAAAGTCATGGTGGAGATTATAAGGAAAAGAGTGGTGGAGCACACTGAAAGGATTTGGCTCATACATGACAATCAGCACGGTTTCAGGGATGGGAAATCTTGTATCACAAATCTATTTGAGTTCTACGACAAGATAACAGAAGTAAGACAGGAGAGAGAGGGA